TCAGAGAAGCTTTTTGTTGGACTGGCCTCTAATCCAGGGGGGAGTAGCCATACTTCCAGTCGCTTCATGCTGTGGAAACTGGGATAGTCTCTGGTTACATGAGCCACTTGGTTCAAGCAGAGACCTCATAGTAGAATATAATTATGATAAGATATGATACCGCTAAATAGGTAACTATTAATCAAGAAGAATCACGGGTCCTCGAGGATGGAAAGGGTTGACAAGAATAACCAGAGGAACGTGAAGAAAATTAGACTGTCAAGTTTCAAGACTCTTTTATGTTTCTCCTTGCAGGTATATGTATTATTATATGTATTTACCGACAAAACTGATTTCTTGAATTTCATAATTAATTCAAAATCTGTGAGTTAACAATTTTGCCAAGACGTCCCCATTGTGACGACGCTCCATAAAGGGCTATTCGCCATTCCGAGGTTGCGCGAGAGAAGGGTCAAGTTACGTGTCGCAAAGCACCACGGGGTTGTTTTAAGGGACGTTATTTCCTTGAATTTCTCGTAGCTTTGTGTTATAGTAGTTGCGAAATGAGTAAATTCAGCTGTTGCGTACCAGGATGCGCAAATAACTAGAGGAACTCTCCCGGATGTTTTGCGGTGACCATTAAAGGGAACAGAAGGAAGGGTCAAATTGGTACATTGTTGAAAGGAAAAGGCGACATCTTACCGGCTGCAAGCTCATGGAAATCAGCGAAAGTTCTCCAGCATTATATAGTAACTAGGTTATGCATGTTATCCAAGCGTTATAGACATCTCATTATTGATTATTAACTCTCTTCCCAAAATGTTACTGGTTACCTGGAAATTCTGGAGACACTTTGCTATTTCGTGGCGTCCAAGTTTTCGAGCTATTTCTATTGGCGTGTTGCCATCTACATTCTTGAGGAGGCATGCCTGATGTGCCGCTGGGCAGTATTGCAGGCACAATGCTACAGTTGATGGTAGTCCGTGAGTCGCACCAAGGTGAAGTAGTGTTGGAAACTTATTGTTCGATATTGGAGGAGCTGAGGAGAAATATGAAAAATGAACAGAACATTAAATTCCTTAAATAAATGTCTGAAGGAAACAAGCTACGAACAGCTTTTTGTGAAACTTTTATGTTATGCGCATGTCTAAAATCTGTAGCAAATTCTTGCAGATCTTTATTGAGAGGTTTTTCCGTTTTTTTCAGCTCAGTATAGGAACCCTATTCATATTCTAACTCTGGCCGTCGTCTCGAACCGTTGATTCGTACAGTTTACGTATACTTCACTGTTTCTTTCTGAACAAGAACGTTGAATGATGAAACCGTGACATAGCTGGTTTGAATGAGAGACTCTCCTGATAGAAAATCCTTTCACCGGCTCTTTATTCAATTTGCATCGATGAACCAGCACGTTTCGATGAAAAAACCAAACCAACCTCTTTCTTGCGCGATCTTGAGGAGATTAAATCCTTCGGGAGCCTTCTCCTTGACTTTTTTGGCAATAACGTCATCAAACATTTTGAGGTCAGTCGAAGAAACTCCGAGAGAATCGCAAAGAAGCATTACTGGATCACTTGCTTTTTCTAATAATTCCTGTAGGAGTTGACTTCGAGAAAAAAACTCAAAAGAACATCGCGCGATAGAAGACTCGTGCTGTTTTAGTTTGTCGTATATGCTAACAGTGGTAGATTCTGGTGGAAAATACACTGCAAGAAAAAAGCAGTATTTATTTTGATGTTTTACGAGAAAATTACCGGTTTTCAAGGGAGTGTCGAAAGAAATTCTGTGTTGCTTTATTTTTTCTTTACAGTGCCATATCATTAGTTAATATAACCCACTTGACCCAGCCCATCAGATAAATCACGCCAATCAGCAATTAACAACATGGGTTCATTGCCCGTGCCCAAACTGTCTAAAAAAGAAAAACTCCGAAGCACCACAACTGCTTCTCTCGTGTTCAACTGTCCCCGATGCAAACCCACCTTGTAACACGTCGCAGGTCACAAGTTATAACAGGTTTTCTTTAACAGGTTACAAACTATAACAGGTTTTCTTTACCTGGAATGGAGGCAATTGGATTAAAAATACTTCGAGTTCTCATCGATTCTTTGAAATATTTTTATTTTTCCTGATTGAACATTGTGATAACTTTACTTTGGTTTGGTTTAATAGGACCCAATGGGACATTTGTGGTAAGTTTGCTATGAACGCTAGGTTGCACCAGTTTCTTCACCCTGGTAAAGCACTGATTTGTTTTGGCTTTGTTCTCCTATTTCTCGATATGCAGTGCTTTCTGAATGAACCAATTTTTCAGGTGAAGATTTCCCGTCTCAACTCCGTAATGATATTTAGTTCATAGCCCGTTTTTATCCAACACCCTGGGCTTGATTGCGAAAGCGAAAACAGTTGCCACCTGTAATCGACCGTTTACGCTTCATATCATCTCTGGAGACATCAGCAAGGAAGTTTACCTGGCGCATGTACCTGAAGTGTACAGCTGTTCAGTAACATTGCAGGCACTCTGAGGCAGTGATGTTGACCTTTGAACTCAGCCTCATAAGGTCCCCCATTGGTGAGAAGAGGAATATTAAAGACGAAAATAACACTTTCTTTTGACTGTAAACGAAATGATAAAATATCAATGGATTGGTTTAAAGAAACTAAACTTTAAGGACGAATTAAACACTATCATTAGATTGTCGATCACATGTTAATATATGAATGGATAATCTCAAACATTCACGCGGCTATCCAAGAATCAGTACGACTTGTTTTCATTAATCCGTTTATTGCTCCTCATTCCCACACGTTGGAACAGTCGAATTCGCTTACAAATGATCACCTCAGAATCAAAGATGTCACGGTTTATTCGAAGCACATGGTCATTACACACTAGCCAAGATGGCGTCCTATAGTCGATCTGTCTCACGAGGGCATGCGCTCACGATAAAATTAAGTAGAATTACTGTGGCAACCGCCAAAATGGTTAAACATTAATTATTAGTTATTTTGTTTCTTAACACTCCTTACATCATATTGGGTCCTCTTTGGGGATACAGCTACAAGCTGCCTGACCTGGTCTGCAAGACAAAAAAAGGATGTAGTTATGAAGCCCACGTGCACAATCCTTGCCTAAGGTAGGCATCGATGTACATCTGATAAAGGGAGGGAAAAAGTATGCGTGTACATATTCAACGAAACCAGTTGTGGTACGCATGTTGCATCATGATACCGACTCGTTGCAGGGAAACACTCAATAAATTCGCAATTTCGATTTTACTCTTGTTCTAGCAAACGATCACCTGTCCTGCTCTTGAATTTACTTAACAAGTTTCCTTCGTTGTTTTTCTGAAAAAAATTCTTTAATTTCAATGGTCAGAAAGTCTCCTCACTCGTGCATTTAAAATGCCAGGTTTAAACAAGTTATGCGAGGAAAGAGTACCATGGGCTACATTTGCTGCTTTATATGCAAATTTACAAAATACAATACAAATCAAACAAGAGACTGTGAAGTTAAAGTGGACCATACCATATATACATTCCTCGTCTTCCATGCTGTCACTTAAAATCGACGAAGCCCACTTTTTTGTTGCTTTTCAGCAGCTAAATAAAATCAATAAAAAGATAAAAAAGACATCTTGTTGAAAAAAGCACAACGATGTTTTCTCTTTAATTTACAAGGGATTATAACACTTTCCTAATTTTTTGCACCAGATCTTGTTTGAGGATCTCAATGGGGTTAACCGTCAAATGGCCAAAATATTAACCGTCAACCGTCAAAAACGCAATATTTTTTACAAATGTCTCAGATATCCTTAATTAAGAATTAAACGATTGTCTTAATTGGGGTCAAGTTTTGTTGTTTTGATACATCACAAAAATGCATCCATGTAACTCCTTTAACTTCTGGTCGCGAGCAAAACTGGTGAGCGACAGAACTGACTTCTGGCATGGAAACACCTCCGGTATCGTATAACGTTAGTTATTTATTGATAAAAGGTGTTATAAATTAACAGTTCTTTACGCGTTCTTTAATGTATCATAAAGAAAAAATTAGGGCCAAATTTGCGCGTTTAGTTCGTTTTATAAACGACATTCCGATAAATTAACCGTCAATCGTCAAATGACCTTAAAATTTAACCGTCAACCGTCAAAAGGGCTTATCTTTAACCGTCAACTGTCAACATGACCCGCCTCCCCTATTGAGACCCTCTTGTTTGATTCATCAGAGCATCCAAAATTTCTTATATACTTGGTGCTTCGATAAAAGAGCAAAAAGAATTATCATAACGCCATGCTACGCAACATCTTACCAAAGCAACAAACATCCTTTGAGTTTATCTTTAACTGCCTGTAACTCTCAAATAACGTAAACTTCTGTGGCGATAATTTTAATCAGTTCCATGGCCTTTTGTAACGTAGGTTTCAGAGCCCCCTTATTTTTGCGATGATTAAATGTGTTAAATGATGTACCTGGTAGTATTTTTCAATTGCTACAACTACTAAAAGTTCATTAGCGTTATTAAATTAAAGTGACGCTTACGAAATCTCCACTTGCAGAGTTAATGTAGGAAATCCCTCAGTTTTCATGTCAATTTAACGAGTTGATTATGGTTAGCGTGGTCTAAACTATTTTCAAGAACGAGATCGTGCCAATATTCGTCGTCACGGTGGTCAAAATGTTGTGGACTTGAAGAGCAACGTTGTGTGTACTCTTATCGACAATAGAGAATTGGCCCATGAATTTGTCACGAAGGTTTTTTCTTTTCTGTCTTTGGGCTCAACTTCGCCTTGAATAAATAGTTGTTAACCGTGTTTTGACCCATCAGCACCGCGGCTCAGAAAAACGATGTCAGTGGCTAGTATTACGTCACTGGTGGGAAAGAAAGATCAAAGCCCTGAGACACACTTCCTTCAAAACTCGCGTGTACTAAGATTTTCGAAGTTATGCGACTTCTTATGCGGATTAAATTCGAAAAGTGAATGATAAAACATGCTTCTTACAGAGAATGTTGGGCTTCAGGCTGGGTTTGGATGCGCAGGGGATGTCACAAAGCGATCGGTGAATATCTTTGTGGTGTTCATTTAGTCGTTCTTTAACTGCGCATAAACAGTTTTAAATGGTCGTCCACGTTCTATTCATCTTTTCATCAGCTACCACGTTTTAAATATTCAATACTCTCAAACATGGAAGATGTCTGCAAACTTTGTCAGCTTAGTAGTCTGCGAGGGAGAGATCGATGGCAAAACTCAACGCTAAAGACTCACGCGTTTTTTATCAACATCTAGAACTGCATTGTTACTAACGGGAACTCAAGTCCGAAAAACTTGGAACACCCACGAAGTACAAGCTGAAGGAGGATGCCGTCTCAAAGATATTCTCCGAGAGACCTGCCTAAAATCTTCTGCTATAATCTGCATAACGCCGTAGTCAACAGGCGAAATCAGAGATTCCATTATGCAAATTACACTGCATTGACCAAAGTATCATTTCTTAGGAGACTCAAATTACAATTCACCACAGCTTTTCACTATATTGAGAGGATTTTCAGTATTTTATGTTTCATTATGGCATGGATCTGAGTGTGAAAGGAATAAAACAGCATTTTTTGCCAATTTCTCGCTTCTATATGCGTTAAAACTCTTGACCGTACTAAACACTCTAGTCGACCGTAGCTTCGCAATGTCTGTTGCAAAGACATTGATCATTCAGTGTTCCGATTTTCGTAATAATCGATTGCAACTTCTGATTCCTCGATGTCATTTTCCAATTTAACCGGTTCTTCGCCTAGAAAATAACTCAGCTCTGACTGGAAGGGTTTCAAACCACTCATACTTGCGAAAGAAAGACTGATAAACTTAAAGTTTGCGCTGATATGCGTAAGTGTGTGAAAGAAGTGTTTCCATTCCCCACCAATGACGTCACATTCGACTGCTGTTAGTCGTTTTGAGCCCACGGTCTTACTGCCACGAAAGCGGGGAAAAGGGACCTTCGAAATAAATAACAAGAAGTGAACTAAGTTTTAAGCTAACTAGAAATTAATGCAAATCAAAATTCCAATTTAATTTTAGGCTTCAGTACCCCATTAAGGTTTCAGTTTTATGTTTGACTTAAATAACAATCTGTCATTTTAATGAATTCGAGATGGTTCGAGATGATTGAGATTGAAAAGTTTGCAGATTCTTTCGAATCCTCAGCTTTCTGAGTCAGTAACACTTAGTAATGATCATAGAAATAATCGTCACAAACAGTTTGAAAAACGCGAATGAACGCTACAACGGAAAATAAAATCAGATTTATCTGAAGTCGAAGACGGCATGTATGGTTCCCTGCAGTATCGCACTGGCTTTAATCCTCTTTATCATCTAATTATGAACAGTCAGTTAGCTCGAAACTATTAATTATTTTTCGCTTTCTGTGTCACTACCCTGGCCATAGCAATTTTACTATAGCCTAGCCTTGCCAAGTCTAACATATACAAGCTGAATGTCATGTTGCAAGTATTAAACAATAAAAGCCCTAACTGAAACTGAATAATGATTTTCGTCCGTAGGACTGTTTCTTAAATACGACTCAGTATATTCTCGAATACCCTTCCTTTAAAGCTCAAAAAAGGTGTTTAATCAAAGCTAATCAAATATGTCTATTTTGACAAAATACTCCATGGCAAACCTTTTTCGACGTGAAATCTTTTCCACTCTTGGCACTAAACTCAATGGAGCGGATAAGGAAATAATTAACTTTAAAAGCAGCGACAGAACTGTTGAGGCAAATAGAATATTTATGTCAAATGTCTAGAAATATAATCAACTGATTCACCCGTACAAAAGTGTTGCTGAATCGGTACAAATCATGCACTGATGTTTATGGTTTGCAATAACTAAAGAAATATGTTGGTAAACGTTGATTTGAGAGGTGATTAGTCAATTACCTTCGTTTCAAAACTAATTCTTTGCTTTGATCTTTGCAGAAGATGTGGCACTATTTGCAAAACACTTTACACTGCGACAAAATACTTTTAAGTGATTTGAAGTAGGCCATTGTAGTTCACTCACCTCTCAATTCCAAGGTGATTGAAAAGCGCCATAATTACTTTACATAATTACTTTGATTTTAAGAGGTCTGCAATCGTAAATCTATGTTTTGCGAATAATACAAAGACTACTTCGACGCTGAATGGTTCGGATTTAGCGCTTTAATTCTTGGGACGGATTATACACGTACTTAATAATTGTGTTAATGAGCGACAGGTTCTGGCACGTGCGGTATAAACATACCTGGGAAGATATCTTCAATTCCCGTCTACTTACATTGCTAAGATCTTTAAAACTCTCTCGACCCTGCAGCTAATTTAAAGCCACTCCAGGCGAAAATATTTGCAGCGCCTTCACGTTAATTTAGTCACAGTCAGTTTAACGTATTGTCTTAAGCTATGCACGAAAGCCAATAGTATTTTGTCTCCCGAAAAAGGGCCTGTCAAAAAGATCGATAAACATTTTGTCTCGGGCTGTTATTAATGATCACCGGAAGTTTTAAAAAATACAAACGAATATTATATCAGTTGGTAAAGCCTTTATCTTAAGTAGTGCCTGGAACATAATTGAATACGAAATAAAATGCCTTTTATGGTTTTATTCTGATTAATTACTATGATTAAACAAATAAATCTTAAACTACATGTTAAATATATTTTCCTCGTTAATTGTGCAGCCTTGTTTATAATCGTGAACGTAATTAATTTCTTATCTTCAACTTTTTTAATCTATTGATCAACTCAATTTTGGGGTATTTTTAGTATTACTGTACTGTAAAAACCTAGAAACCTGTAATCTTTAGCAAATTTCTGAAATGGCTTTAACAAGGTATACATTTATGATAATTGTGCCTAGTTCAAGTGTGGAGCTTTAAATGAGACGAACTACATAGGCTGACATAATTTGAATATATCAAGAAAGTTGAAATGGTAAATTGGCCACCGTTACGATTATAAAAGCTGACGTTTCGAGCGTTAGCCCTTCGTCGGAGCGAATAGAGGAATAGAGTAACAATTCAACTTTGTTGATATATTCAAATTATTTCGTTACCCCCACCGACGCAGCCCCAAACAGTTTCTTTAGAAACTATCAGCTTTTATACATAAACTGACAGACTTTAGTTCCTCATGTTCGACGTTTGAATCAGTGGAGTTCGTCCGACTGAATTTGGATCGATGTACTTGTTCTGTCCGTCTGCATCAGGCAGATAGAACGTGTGAAGATCGACTGTATGTAGGACAAACATCGATCTTTTCATGAATCAAAATTAATGAGTAAATTGACTATTTTTTTGTCTTTAATCCCGCTGACCGAAAGATTTATTTTTACTGCGCTCTGAATTAACTTCGATGAATCATGTTTCATGTTGGACTTAACAGTCGAACTTTACCCGTTTGGGTCGACCAAAACTGCAATTTAGTTCGTCTTATGTGAAGTTTGACGCTTGAACATGGCCTAAATTAGGTAGCGAAAGTTTTCGATAATTGATCGAAAGCGATGACAATTTTTGATGCTTATGATGTATCTACCTCGAAACTGGCGATTATAATCCTTAATGGACCAATTGAGAATACTTAAATAGTAGCGCTATAATGTATCCAAATAAATAAAACCTAACGTTTTACGAAAGCTTAACGAGGCTTTGTTTTATAGAACAATAGTGTGTAAAAGCCAGCCTTTGTCAGGCTTAACCTGTTCCCATTATAAATCATGGCTATTTCACGAGTATATTCTAACCTTCTTTGAGTCTAAATATGTATGACCACCCTTAAACTACTTAGTGATAGTAGTGCATAAATTTTATTCAAATAACATTGCGACAGATGTAGCTCATCGAAAATAAAATTCAAATCGACGAGAGTGTTCTTATGACCGCCATCAGAACGCAGACACAAACCTTGTTTATTAGTTGGTGTTTCGCACTCGGTTGATGTAGATGATCACTGGCAAGATCTATGAAAGTTTTAGAAGTTAGAAAGACTTAACCCTGCAGTTGCATGCTTGATTTACCACAACTGTGTTTTACAATAAACAAAATATTCGCACTTCCAGCAGCATCCTCATGGACAAAAAAACATTTTTATTTAAGTTTTAGTCCGCGGGAGTCACTGCCAATTCATATGCTGCAGATCAGCATCCCCCCCTTGAAGCTCCGTGTAAAATATTTTACTTTCTTGTTGAATAAGAAGTAGATAAAGATCTAATAAAATAAATTTTAGATTGTGTGTCGAAGGTAATTCGAATTGCTTCAGTTTTGCTTTTCTTAACTCAGTGATTGATCTAGAAATCTTCCCCCTCTCTGTCAACCAATCAGCTGTAAAAGTACAAACGGGGTCATTTGTGTCTTCCCGAGCTTAACAATGATTAAGGTAATCTACTTTTAGTTTTGCTTGGTTCCTTGTAATTTTTTTCTGACACTCGACTGAGAGTTATTCTACGACGTAATAATTACACTGGTGTTAACTTGAATCTGAATACCAGACCCCCCGTCTGTCGAGCTATTCAGCGTGATCGGATTATCACGCCCCTTTAGTCCAATTGTGGAAGACTGGGACGAAACACTCCAGGTCTTGGACATTGGTGTGGCGAAACTGCTGCTGCGAATCATCTCCATCACGCGGTTTTTTGCTGTGAACACCTGCCAAGCTTCTTGCAAATCCTTCTTAAAGATTCCATGCAGAAGGAAGATCACAAAACCTTGAAACGAACACGTGATTGTGAACAAGTAATGGAACAGCAATGTTCCAACAATGGCAGCTAAACCGGCAAATAACCAGTTGAGACCGAGGAGGAAAAACACGGACACCGTAGCACGGAAGTGCGAGAGACGGTTGGTCTGCTCACACATACATGGGATGTTGTAGATTTCTTTCATCACTGCGAGGAAGATGAAAGCGTTGACAGCCATCAGGAGGAGGACGGGAGCGAGGAATGCGCCGTAGAATGCGTTTGCGTCCATCCAGCAACTGAAATCGAAGCAAAAAAAATTTGCTGATTCCATATGGTTGCTTTCAAATACGTGAATCAATATGATTTAGAGTCGAGCTTGTTAAGGTTTTGCCTTGAAATTATATCGCTAGTCTTAAATTACCTTAATATTGATCATGATGATATCGTGAACTTTAGCTTTTCATGCTACTGAGAAAGATAGTTTTTCACTTTCAAACCATTACTTAACTTTGATTGGGATCGTGGAAGAATGGGATGAGTTTTCCTTTTTAGCAAAGCTACATGGATGGTAATGTGTAGAAATTATGCAAAGGAAATTGTAATTTTTTATCGTTTCTCTGAAATTTTGCCCAAATGCCGAGTAAATATCGATGGCATTAGCTAAATAAGAGTGATCGTATAAAATGTTGTAGTTATAAATAGCTTGATGGAACAAACGTTTTACTTACAGCGTTTCGTTGTTCTTGTCCATGACGTTGAAGCCATAGGACTGAGGTTCAGCCAGCACAGTTATGACCACAATTATGGCGGGAACAACTGCAAAGACACAAACAAAAAAGGAAAACCTTATAATGTAGGAATTTATTTAAAATGTTTAATACAATTGGTAAACGCCATCATGGCATTTATATTACAAAAGTAATTCTATTAGCTTGGACAACAACAACTGTGAATTATTCGTATTTGTCGGTGGCTAAGGTAATAATAAAGAAAGTCATCGAAATAAATAACGGCAATACAGATTACATCTGATACATATATCTTATTATTAAAAACTGGATCATTGGATAATGCAATTCAAGACTTTTTATTGGCTCAGCCATTTTGGTATATGTGCCAATATACCATAATCTAATTTCTGTACATTGTTAAATCCGGTTTCTTCTCACAAAATAAAGTCGAGAAGATTTAACTTATCTTTGAAGATGCCATTCCAAACTTTGTGGCGTGTTCGGTATTTCTCGGATGGCATTTTCTTTCATTAAATTAATTTCCTCTTCAGACACATAAACAAACCGCGAGGCGTCCACTTTGAAAATTTGTCCTCCCGCTATAATCATCTCGCCGGAGGTGATTATAGCGGAATATGACGCCATTCTCGGCCAGTGAGAGCGCGAGAATTTCTATAATCACCTGAGTAATTATACTAAAGGAAGATGTTCACTTTCAGCAACCTCTTTTTTCATCGAAGTAAGCATGATATCCCTCTTTGAAATCTAAATGTGTAAACCGGGTTTACCTTGTTCTTGATTAATATCGTTTCGACCTAGCCCTAACCCTAAGGGTTTGTGAGATTCTGGCTCAAATTTGACAAAGACAAGTGAACTCACTCCATCCCACCACGCCGGCCCTGCACATGAACTCGTTCTGTGAAATAAATGTGGTATCAAACACTTTGACCAGGTCTTGATACAGGTTGTATGCCTCGATACTCATCCATACAATAGAGGAGAGTAGGAAATAGTGAAGTAGAGCTGCTGTGGTTTTACAGACGTCCAGTGAATCCGAGTCTGTTATGCCGTTTATGCCAAATGTAAACAGCAATATGGCGGCCAGGAGGGACACACACAAATGCGCAAGTATTTGGTTTTGGCGAAGACGACGAAGCTTCCTATCGAAGAATATCAAAAGTTATGCGAAATATAGGTTTAGAGCAACATATAACGTACATTCTGCAGAAAAGAGGAACCAGAATATCCAAGTAGTATACCAAGTGTAAGGATGATCATTGCCATTAAATAAAAATTAATACATGGGTGCGCGTTAGTATGGAATAAGTCTTCCAGTGTTCAACTGGAGATCGCTCAAGTTAGATTTCGATTTTAACACGAGATGAGAAATTCCATATCTTAAGGCCAGGTATTAATTTTTTTTTGCCGTATTAACACCATGGGCTTTTACCGACAAGAAAAGTCGGCTTTACTTATAAACGACCTTGGGTTGAGAATGGTGAAAGCTTTACCATTCAATTGTCCATCTAACAAAATGACGCAATGGGTTAGTGACGTGTTAGTAGCTGATCGGCGATATCAAACACATGTAAAATACTATCGTAATTTAACATGTGTGCAGTTACAGCTTTCCTCAGTGCTGGAGATCCTTGTAATCAACTGAACTTTGTATAATAAAATCATATTTCTTGAATTGAAATGAGACCATTTTAAATTATCCCTTACAAAAAACTAAAACCAAAAGAATACGTGCTTGAACGCCCTGCAGGCTTCAGGCCTCTTTTCACATTAGCTTTAAGCCTCACTCCGACCTACCAATCGTTATATTATAACAATGCAGCTTCTTTAGGACAATATCGAAATGTTACCCTTACTTTGAGATTAAAATAAAATGATAGGGAATCAGGTCTATATGAAGGATCTCTTTGATTCACAATCTTTTGATCCGTTTTACCTTGAGAGGGTGATGGTTAAAATCGTGAAAAACAGCCCCAAAATAGATAGAGAACATCCAACATAAGAAATGATTGACAATGCGTTCTGGTGACTATCTGGGATGTCATCGCTTTTTCGCAAAAGTATCTTCGATTCAAAACCGTGTTCTCTCTTTAGAAGATCCAGATAGTTCGTCACTTGGGATTCTGGGAGCTCCTATGGGTAACAAAAAAAAATAGCTTCTTGTCAATGTGTAGCCCAGAAAGGAGCAATACATTTTGCTGCTGAAGAATTTTGGGTTTGTGCCTTGACTAAATGTGTATCCCTTGGAAAGCTCTAAATAGAGATAAAAAGTCATTAATGACCATTATATATACAAGAGGTACATAAATTGAAGAATGGTACGTATGCTGTACCCACCTCGAAATGGAAAGCTGTGCTGTTCAGCAAAACTGTGGGATACAGTTGATAATGAGCTATCGTTCTGAGGTACTGCCAACAAGCATTTCGTATTCCTTTTTTAAGTGTAGGAAAATCCTTGGATGGATTGGTCATGTTCAGATCAAGTCGCATCACCATTATAAAGTAGACTCCGCTAAAACAGAAAACCAAAATTTCATTATTAAAATTACGTCGATCTCGCAATGTGTTATCGTTTGGCTCAAGATGAGGCCTCCTTCGATGTGGATCTTTACGTTTTGAGCGCAAATTGCTGGTCTTTTTCGGGCAATGACGCCATCCAGTTAACGCTGTACACTATAACATCAGTTTGTTTATTCTCCATACTGTTCTCGATACATTTCCTAAGATGCTGACAGGGAGAATTTGATTAACGATCAAGAGCTTGTGTAGTTGGTGATCATTTTATTTATTCCTGTGACCTTAATGTGTGATTTAGAGATGATATTGTCAGGAGAAGCAGGATGCTAGTCACTCTTAACGGGTCAAAGTGCTAATTGTGTGGGACAAACAATAATTTATTCATTTATTTTGTGAAAGAAGCATTAATTTTAGAATCGTATTTTACAAAGATGAATGACCACAACCTCGCTTAATATGAAACAAACGCTTCTCAGAACATCAGAGGAAACTGGTCAAACAACATGCTACATTACCTTTCTTCTCGGTGTTCATGTGCTTTAAGTTCTTCTTTCTTTGTTACATTTATAGCTTGCCCACCAAGTGAAGGCAATCTGAGCGATCGAAATTTTAAGATGAAAATGAGAAGTTATAAGTCATAAGAACTATCCATCGAAATAAGATCTGCACAGCTATGAGTTCAACGATCATTTACAAAGAAGGAGAGGAGTGCTTTAGACTTTTTTTGTTTTTGTCAGTAAACCATATTTCATCTAGAATTCCAAATTCTGACTGAATTCACTATGTAGAGGTAAGGACACTGTATTTTGTTCCAATCCTACCTGAAGAAAATACCTTTAGTTGTCTTGTTTAAAATTGTAGAATCCTCGAAGAGATTGACTTCGACAAAAAAGTCAAACATTTTCCAGAACTGAAATGAGAAAATTATAAATGGGAGGGTCACAGGAGCAGAATTAATTAAAAAGGAAATGAATACAACAATATAAAAAAGGAGATTAGAGCAAAACTTCTCGGAATTCGTGGTTTTAGGGTCTTTCAGCGAGATATGACGAGTTTTAGTACACAACGAAAACTCCTAGGTAATCTCCTTACTTTTTGGGCTAGGCGAATTTTGAAGCAGTATTTGGTCCTGAAATTTGAGCAGAGGAACTCTCCTTTGAACTTCAGAGCAAAAATTTGTCCTAAAAGTTTGCAAAGTATCCTGATATTTTTTAAAGCTTCTGACGACCATGAGGCTATAAGCATTACTCACATTTTGACAACCTACGCAATGAAACTTCAAGATGCAAGTAAAATGTGTTTGTGTTTGTTTTGATGCCTTCTTAATCACAATGCCTCACTCAAAATACAATGTGAAGTTTAATTTTACTTAGCATGGCTGGGCAAATAATTCACCTATCATAACCGACTTACCCCACTTTTGATATCATCTGCAAGATTTCGACAAGGCTCGCACTTCTTCGTGTCGTGCTTAAAAAACTCTTTTGTGAAGTTGTGATTTAAAATAATTCCTGATGCATGGTAATAGACAGATACATTTTCTCCATTACAAAATCCTGCAAAAGATACAACTTTGAGCCAACGTGTTATTCATATGCAACGCTGCGTGTAAATGGTCTTTTGTTAGGCCGAGGCACTCTCAGCGATTTCAATCACATTTATTTTTCTTTCTAAAATGAAATAAATTATTATACACCTATTTGCAAATGCGTTGTCATGGCGTAAAGCAAAAATANAAAATTTTTCCCCCGCTATAATCACCTCGCCCGAGGTGATTATAGCGGAATATGACGCCATTCTCGGCCAATGAGAGCGCGAGAATTTCTATAGTCACCTGAGTAATTATACTAAAGGAAGATGTTCACTTCCAGCAACCTTTTTTTTCATCGAAGCATGATATCCCTCTTTGAAATCTAAATGTGTAAACCGGGTTTACCTTATTCTTGATTAATATCGTTTCGACCTAGCCCTAACCCTAAGGGTTTGTGAGATTCTGGCTCAAATTTGACAAAGACAAGTTAACTCACTCCATCCCACCACGCCGGCCCTGCACATGAACTCGTTCTGTGAAATAAATGTAGTATCAAACACTTTGACCAGGTCTTGATACAGGTTGTATGCCTCGATACTCATCCATACAATAGAGGAGAGTAGGAAATAGTGAAGTAGAGCTGCTGTGGCTTTACAAACGTCCAGTGAATCTGAGTCTGTTATGCCGTTTATGCCAAATGTAAACAGCACTATGGCGGCCAGGAGCGACACACACAAATGCGCAAGTATTTGATTTTGGCGAAGACGACGAAGCTTCCTATCGTAAAATATCAAAAGTTATGCGAAATATGGGTTTAGAGAAATTATGACGTACATTCTACAGAAAGGCGGAACCAGAATATCCAAGTAGTATACCAAGTGTAAGGATGATCATTGCCATTAAATAAAAATTAATACATGGGTGCGCGTTAGTATGGAATAAGTCTTCCAGTGTTCAACTGGAGATCGCTCAAGTGAGATTTCGATTTTAACAAGAGATGAGAAATTCCATATCTTCAGACCAGGTATTAGTTTTTTTTTTTTAGCCATATTAGCACCATGGGCCTTTACTAATAAGAAAAGTCGGCTTTACTTATAAACGACCTTGGGCTGAGAATGGTGAAAGCTTTACCATTCAATCGTCTACCTAACATAATGGCGCAATGGGTTAGTGACGTGTTAGTAGCTGATCGGCGATATGAAACATGTAAAGTACTATCGTAATTTAACATGTGTGCAGTTACAGCTTTCCTCAGTGCTGGAGATCCTTGTAATCAACTGCACTTTGTAAAATAAAATCATATTTCTTGAATTGAAATGAGACCTGTAGAGACCGCTTCCGGTTGTCGTTTTGTTACCCGTCAATCATGTAATTCCCGGTTAGTTAGTAAGAAAGAGCAGAGCTCGGCACGGTTGTAAAGAAACTTAGATTTCAACAATTAAACCGTTTCGTAAAATAACACTGTAGCGTGCAGTCAATACACTACAAGACCCATTAAATTACCCCTTACAAACAACTAATACCAAAAGAATACGTGCTTGAACGCCCTGCAGGCTTCAGGCTTCTTTTCACATTAGCTTTAAGCCTCACTCCAACATAGCAATCGTTATATACAATGCAGCTTCTTTAGGACAATATCGGAATGTTACCCTTACTTTGAGATTAAAATAAAATGATAGGGAATCAGGTCTATATGAAGGATCTCTTTGATTCACGGTCTATTGATCGGTTTTACCTTGTGAGGGTGATGGTTAAAATCGTGAAAACCAGCCCCAAAATAGATAGAGAACATCCAACATAAGAAATGATTGACAATGCGTTCTGGTGACTCTCTGGGATGTCATCGCTTTTTCGCAAAAGTATCTTCGATTCAAAACGGTGTTTTCTCTTTAGAAGATCCAGATAGTTCGTCACTAGGGATTCTGGGAGCTCCTATAGGTAACAAGAAAAAATAGCTTCTTGTCAATGTGTAGCCCAGGAAGGAGTAATAAATTTTGCTTCTGAAGAATTTTGGGATTGTGCCTTGGCTAAGTGTGTATCCCTTAGAAAGCTCTAAACAGAGATAAAATGTCATTACTGACCATTATATATATACAAGAAGTACATAAATTGAAGAATGGTGAGTATGCTGTACCCACCTCGATTTGGAAAGCTGTGTTGTTCAGCAAAACTGTGGGATACAGTTGAAAATGAGCTATAATTCTGAGGTAATACCAACAGGCATTTTGTATTTTTTCTTTAAGTGCAGGTAAGTCCTTGGACGGGTTGGTCATGTTTACATCAAGTCGCATCACCATTATGAAGTAGACTCCGCTAAAACAGAAAACCAACATTTCATTATCAAAATTAAGTCTCGTAATGTGTTATCGTTTGGCTCAAGATGAAGCCTCCTTCGATGTGGATCTTTACGTTTTGAGCGCAAATTGCTGGTCTTTTTCAGACCATGAGGCCATCCAGTTAAAGCTGTATACTCTAACATCAGTTTGTTTATTCTTCATACTGTTCTCGATACATTTCCTAAGATGCTGACAAGGAGAATTTGCTTAACAATCAACAGCTTGTGTGGTTGATGATCATTTCCTTTTTTCCTGTGACCTTAATGTGTGATTGAGAGATTATATTGTCAGGAGAAGCAGGATGCTTGTCACTCTTAATGGTCAAAGAGCTAGGTGTGTGAGACAAACAATAATTCATTAATTTATTTTGTGAAAGAAGCATTAATTTTAGAATCGTATTTTACAAAGATGAATGACCACAACCTCGCTCAGTGATATGAAACAAATGCTTCTCAGAACATCAGAGGAAACTGGTCAAACAACATGCTACATCACCTTTCTTCTCTGTGTTCATGTGGTTTAAGTTCTTCTTTCTTTGTTGCATTTATAGCTTGCCCACCAAGTGAAGGCAATCTGAGCGATCAAAATTTCAAGATGAAAATGAGAAATTATAAGTCATAAGAACTATCCATCGAAATAAGGTCTGCACAGCTATGAGTTCCACGATCATTTACAAAGAAGGAGAGGAGTGCGTTAGACCTTTTTTGTTTTTGTCAGTAAACCATATTTCATCTAGAATTACAAATTCTGACTGAATTCACTATGTAGAGGGAAGGACACTGCATTTTGTCCCAATCTTACCTGAAGAAAATACCTTTAGTTGTCTTGTTTAAAAGCGTAGAATCCCCGAAGAGATTGACTTTGACAAAAAAGTCAAACATTTTCCAGAACTGAAATGAGAAAATTATGAATGGGAGGGTCACAGGCGCAGAATTAATTAAGAAGGAAATCAATACAGCAAAGTAAAAAAGGAAATTAGAGCAAGACTTCTCGGAACTCGTGGTTTTAGGGTATTCCAACGAGATATGACAAGTTTTAGTTCACAACGAAAATTCCTAGGAAATCTCCTTACTTTTTGGGCTAGGCGAGTTTTGAAGCAGTATTTGGTCCTGAAATTTGAGCAGAGGAACTCTCCTTTGAACTTCAGAGCAAAACTTTGTCCTAAAAGTTTGCAAAGTATCCTGATTTTTGTTAAAGCTTCTGACGACCATGAGGCTATAAGCATCACTCACATTTTGACAACCGACGCAATGAAACTTCAAGATGCAAGTAAAATGTGTGTGTGTTTGTTTTGATGCCTTCTTAATCACAATGCCTCACTCAAAATACAATGCCAAGTTTAATTTTACTTAGCATGGCTGGGCAAATAATTCACCTATCATAACCGACTTACCCCACTTTTGATATCATCTGCAAGATTTCGACAAGGCTCGCACTTCTTCGTGTCGTGATTAAAAAACTCTTTTGTGAAGTTGTGATTTAAAATAATTCCTGATGCATGGTAATAGACAGATACATTTTCTCCATTACAAAATCCTGCAAAAGATACAACTTTGAGCCAACGTGTTATTCATATGCAACGCTGCGTGTAAATGGTCTTTTGTTAGGCCGAGGCACTCTCAGCGATTTCAATCACATTTATTTTTCTTTCTAAAATGAAATAAATTATTATACACCTATTTGCAAATGCGTTGTCATGGCGTAAAGCAAAAATATAAATAAAAATAAAAAGAGCCATATAGGAATTTATGAGCATCTGAAAATATCCTCTGGCTAAATGCCCGGCAGCTGAACTAGTTTCATTGAATTTCCACTAGAAAAACAATTCTGTCAAACTTCTTGAGTGTTTAAGATGTTGTCTATAGACTTCAAGCAATTAAAAAATTGAAAAAATCTACATGCTAATGTTGTATTATGTTACTTGGCTCTTTTTTTTTTATTTTTTTTTTATTTTTGTCTGACAGTGTTACTGCATAAGGTGTAAATCTGTCTTCTCACTTTGCTAATCCCAGCAGTTTGCAGGATACATGTCAAATATGAACCTAATAATGAACAGCCCACCATCGAGTCTTTGTAGCTATTACACAATCCACGCCAGCAAAACATATTAAGTTAAACCGGATTTAACTGAGAAGAAAGTCAGAAGCAAGATCTGAAAAATAGCCTGTAGTTTTCCATGGGCCAAAAATCGTTGACTGAAAATTGTATACAACGTGTAGTCGTGAATCACATACTCCGAAAGTTATATTCTCCTGAAATCACTTGCCACGTACTAGATTTTGCTATTACAAGACTATTGAAAGGTCATGATAAACAGAATTGTGGTCACAGGCAAATATTGTCAAGCATTGTGTATTGCTATTGAACCAGCTACAGCAGGAATTGTCCCTTACAAAGTATTTTGAGTTCAAATCGCACGTTACAACTTTTTTTACCATTGTTTCTAACATTTTGATGTGTAATTTACAGTGATTCGCGGAACAAACTTTTTACAGTTGATATTTTAAAGGTCTGGATCGAGTGTGTGTCGTTTCTTCTGTATTACGTAATACTACGCTAATCGGTTTTCCCTTTCTAAGCAATGTTTTTGCATCGTAAAAATCCTTCCCTTTAACTGAGAAACAATTTGTCAAATCGAAACGACTTGAAAACAAGCAAGATACATTCTTGTATATAGCATGTCCTGCCCTTGATAAATCGTGCAATCACACTTACCTATATGCAGTCCAATTAGAATTCCAATTGTGAAATGCATCACTGAAGAATCCAGTAAATCTTCTTAAAAAGTCTTAAGGCTTTCTAAAAAAAGAAGAAGCATTCTCGTTCGTAAAAGATAAGAACTACTCTAAAAGTGCTAAATAAGAAAGTTTAAAAATATCAGTTTGTGAATTTCTATATAATTTTGTATTTTATAGTTACTGTAATTTCATTTTCCACAAATTTTATCAACACCCTGGTACAATTCCAAACCACTACGTAAAGTACTGTACTAGATGCGACACAAAGGAAGAAAATCGAGTTATTTCGCTAGAAATTCAGTGTTAGTAGATCGAAATTAATTCAAGATGACTAAGTTTTTGGAATGAGAACATTTTCCATTCCATACAATGAAACTCCATCCAAAGTATTGTGCACCGATCTTGTTGCAGTCCACAGAAACGATGAAATCATGCATTTAAATCATAGAAATTCAATGTGAGCGGGTCCTACATTATGCTGAAGAAACTGCTAGAATCCCTAAGTGGACAATAATTAAAGCGATGCAAACATACCTCAGTAAACTCTCATAAAACTATCATGAGTGACATGGCTTTTGCAAGCCTCTTTCCTTTTACACTCAACCATTACCAGGTTACGTAAATATTGAGTCACTTCAAAGGTGTGAGCGAGTTTTAGAACAAGTAAGGCATTTTAATGATATGCTTTTGATTTTCAATCCTTATTTTACTAAAGTACTGAGCTTTGGTGTACTGGATGTCAAACTTGGGTTGAAATTTAATGAACTGAAACTGATAATAGAACTTGAGTAATACACGTCCTATCTTAGTACTATCTATTGACACTTTTATTTTTCCTCTGTGAATGTTCCGCACTTACTTAACTTTTAGAGCTTCGCTGAGATAAAATTCTTAAGGAAAAGTAAACCATCTTTTTCCAAGAAATAACTGTCAACACCTTTCAAACCAAGCGAGTTTTCTACAATTTAGGTTAACTGTTAATGGAAGGAGTTAAATTCATTACTTTTNACAACAGCAACAACAACAAAAATAACTTCAGCATCACTGGTGGGGTGCGTTTTTTTAACCGGCTTGCCCGTGAGAGGTTATCAGTTATTGCGTGCAGCTAAAAATTTTTAACGTTCACTTGCATGTGTGTTTGATGATGAAATCTGAAGAAGACAGATCACGCTATACTATAAAATTATTTACCGGTAAACTCTGGAAAAAGCGACAGTTGATGAAGCTCACTTCGCTTTGTTTTAGCCCTTTTCCTTTGTTGGGTTTAAGGAAAACCACTTCTACAGTGTATATTTGGAAAATTACACTATTCAAAAGGAAAAAAAAGCAACTTATACTTGTTTCCTGCCATTACTTGTAATCTGACGTTCTCAAAAATCGGCAAAAAAGAACATAATTTGCGCCAGAATAAATTCTTGCGTTTAATTCATTTTAAGTTCAGAGATAGCTAGGAAAAAGATGAACATCAAAACCGAATTATGGCATTAATCAAGTCGAGGACACTTCGGATCCTTTTCAGATATAAATTTAACACTGTAGACAATTTTTATCAAAAGCTCCTTTTAATGCTTTTATCTCAATTGCTAGATCGCCAACTCGAACGAATTTATTATTTTTTTCAAAACTTAAATCAGAGATCTGGTGCGTGCCTGTCCTTAAACCAGTTGGTGACTTGAATCAGCGCCAAAATTTTAAATTTGCTTTTTTCGTCGATCACGTTTTGGTGTACACCAAGCTGAATTGATACGAAATACTGAGAGTATCAGGAACTGAGATATCATCTAATAGGCTGAAAATAATGATAACTGTTTAAATTTACCTACCTATTTCTTTAGTATTTCCGTTTTAATTTTGGAGTCCTTGTCAAGGCTCCGGAGTTGTAGTAGCCGTGAGAACATATTTATTGCACTCCTCATCACCTTAATATTCTAGAATCCTCACTACTAATTTTCCCTTCATTGCGTTATGGCAAAATTCTCCCCCTCCCCCCAAAAAAACCTTAATCCAGACATCCACTGTTTTAGACTCTTCAACTACGAGCAACTGTGAAAATCACGCCGGAGAAAAAAAAATTCCAAGTTGTAAGCTAGGCCACTAAAAAATTTAACTAGGGCCGTACAGAAAGACAGCTGCAAAAACTGCAACCACTTACCTTTTCAAAAAACACCAAGTGCGATATTATTTCTCACACTTTTTCCATGTACTTCACCTCATAAGTAAGAAAGATTCAATTTTTCAAATAAATTTCTTGATACAAGTTCTCTAACCGTTTTTTTTTTCTGTTAACCTTAGCTAAACGTAATCGAAATGATAGATATACGGCCAGTAAATTAGAGAGAAGAAAATATTCCGTGGCAGCTACTACATATGCAAGCAGCTGGACACATACATCTCTGTTTGACTGTCAAAACCTCAAAGATTCTCAATATGCGATTGGCCGAGTGAACTTTCTCAGCGAAAGTGCAATCTAGTGCCTACTCTGCCGATGACAATTATTCAATTTCTTTTAAGTTGCAAGATGCTTGCGGCTGTTTATAGATTACTTAGAGCAAGTGACATGCGTATACGGTCTCTCTGGCGTAAAACTTTCATATTTATGTTACACCTACCACTTATTCCTGAGTTTGAGGTGAATAATTTAAGGTGCAGACCGAGGTTTTCCCGCTCGAATCTATGGCCTAGGCAAGAAGGGCGCGCAGGCCTTAGATCCGTGCAGATCTTTTTTAGGTACATCAAAAGTTGCGAGTTGTCGATGTTGAGGGTCCTGAGCGAGACGAGGAAGGCAACAGCATCGAGAACATTGTGAAACAAAGAGATTTAATGAGATGATCAGTGGCTATGTACGTGTTTGTCAAAACTCTGTGGATTTTCTTGGTCATGATCATTATCAATACAGCAACGCGAAATCACTTAAGTTTGCCAATTATGTTAATTATTTCGTTCGACTTATGGAGAACCCATGCTATTTGCGGCGCTTCTTTCTGGGCGTTGTGCGATTTCTGGATCTATATAATCGCCATCTTGGAGTAGCAGACCATGTGCCTCGATTTCAAGTAATAGCTTTGAATGCTGCCCACTAAGTTCACTTGATAATTTTTACATGTTTAANGATGATAATTATGGCACATTTTGCACAACTTTTGCTATTTTGTCTCTACATTTGCAAAAATTTTGCATTTACTTTGAAAAGGATTCATTTTGTTATCTTTCTGTGGGATCATTCCTTTATGTTCTAGGAGAAAAGGGAGCGAAATCATATGCTAATTTTTCCGTTTGTGTTTGGTAGGACAAAGCGCCGGTGTGTCTAACGAATGGTGCTGGTGAATCAGAATAGTTTTAGGCGCGAAAAACCCGTGCAGTTAGATACGGGCCAATCAGGAAAGAGCTCAGTAACTCACGCGTACAAGTTTTAAATCGACGTACTGTTTGAAATTATCATAAACCTTCTATAAATTCTACTTCAACGAATAACTGGCCACAAGTTTTGCTCTTACACAGTATTTCGTTCGTTGGAAGTCTTCTCTCCTTTTGTCAAACTTAAGCGACGCGATACGTATCATTTCTCGCAACGGACTTAAGTAAGACGGGTAAGTGTTTGTCCACGTTAATGTACGCAAGTGACTTTGTAAACTAATTCTCAAAGAAAGCCTAGCCATGCACAATTTTAAGAGAAGTAGGTCGATGCGTCGTTTCATAAAATCCTTTGAATTTGTGCCAGTTGCTTGTATTTGTGCTTAGAAGCTGTCTGTTACTTCGCAGTAACAATTTTGCTACGGTAGCATAACTTAAATTTCGCAAAATCAGTCTTCCTTGAAATTCTTCTTTGAAAGTGTTATCGCGCGGTAAACCATTTTAATCGTTCATCCTTAGCTAAAATTCCACATGGACAGTACGACAAAAGCTTAGTTCATGGTGTTAGTTTCAAACACTCTACGCAATAAGCGATGACGAGCTCGAGTGAATTAAGAAAATATTGCAATAGACTTCCAAACAGATACTGAGAATATCCTTGGTCTTTAACCCTTAAAATCTCAAGATCCGATTTCATTAATTTCTCCCCTCTGATTGCTACACATTTCCATGTAAATTAGTTACGAGAATTTGATATCATATCAAGATAAAACTTCCTGATAATTTTGAGTGTTCTCATTACCTGTTTGCTGGATAAGGTATTAATATTACAGGGAGAAGTTACATGTTAATCACTCCTTAAAGTTCAAGGGTTATCCATTCTCCGTCACTGATTTGCCTGAGATTTTATTTGCCTGTTTGTTACATATTTTCGAGGCTTGAAATGATGCGATAATCTGCAAAAGTTTGAAATAAGTTCTACACAAAGATACATAAAAAGTTTCTCAAGGAAAAATTTAGGATACGCCTCGATGTTAGTACCATGACCTCAGATGAAACGGCTGTTATGTGGAGTTTGAAGGGAATTTCGTTCTCAGACATCAGTCACTTTTTTAACCCTAAAAGCGTACGTGTTACCAGCATTTTATTTTTCCATACAGTATCACTCCTTTGTCACAATTAAGGTCACAAGAATAAGGGAAATAATCACCAACAAACAAAGCTCATGATTGTTAAAAAAATAATTACCCTTAAGAAGTGTAAGGGGGACAATATTGAGAGTATGAACACCGATGCAAAGGTATAAAGGGTTATGGACAGACTCTGGAAACATGATCTAAATTCATTTTATATAATTAAACTTACCAATTTTGTAATGTTTTAGCAAAAAGTGGTTAACAGACACCTATTCAGTTCTTCTTACATGCGTAATTATTGCGAATTTAGAATATAATTATCTTGCAAAATTTTCCCACCCACTCCGGACCACGATAATTTCATGTTCGATTTATTTCACTTTAATACTTCTCATTTAAGGCTCTCTCGTTCAGTCCTATACGACACTCTCCAGTCCTAACACAACTCAGTCTAATACAGCCTAGTTTATCCTTGTTCACTCAACTCCACTCCAGTCCAGTCCAGTCCAGTACAGTTCAGTTCAATAATAGAGCACCCAACAAAAATCAGTAAAACACAACCCAGTTTATCTCAGTTCACTCCAGTCCAGTCCATTACAGTTCAGTTCAATAAAAGAACAGATTAATGTGCCTTTAGTCCAAACCTCAGCGTCCAGTTCCACCCGGTCCGGTCCGATTCGGGTCCAGTCCGTTCCATTCCTTTCCGTGTGGTCCAGCCCCACCCGATTCGCCTTTAATTTACCGCTTATAAGCGAATCTAATTATATCAAATTACCGCATACATGCTGATAAAGTAGGACCTATTTACCTACCGAGATTAGATTACCGAGAACAAAACAAAGGAAAACAAAACAAAGGAAAACAAAACAAAGGAAAACAAAACAAAGGAAATGATTTCAGAATGTCTTCGGTATCGCAGTCGCACTTGACATGTGGCAAGGTTCAAGCGAAAGAGGAAAATTCGTCGCTTTTACATCTGGTAAAAAGAGATCATGGATAAAATTCCACGCGTGAAGATTACTGAAGAACAGAAAAACATTCTGAAATCATTTCCTTTGTTTTGTTTTCCTTTGTTTTGTTTTGTTTTGGCCTTTGTTTTGTTCTCGGTAATCTAATCTCGGTAGGTAAATAGG